TTATACTGTTGTGTTTTTGTCATCTCTGCTTACATAGATCAATTTTAAGTTTGTTTACTTCAAGTGTAGACATGCCTAAAACCTTTCATTATTTTCCACTAATAACCACATCCTTTTTTGATATCTTCATTTTTTAGTAATACCTTATCTTTATAAAGTACTTTGTTTCTTTGCTTTGTCCATTGTTTCACCTATTTCTTTCAGTAACTATGTCACATTACTTCTGGTAATGAGTATCATGTATACCTGTGTTTAAAAGTTGGTTGTTATATCTCTGTTCTTTTAAAATATAAATTTAATTCTATTTTAAAAATTGAAACAGAAGGTACAGTGAACAGTTAACATACTCTTTCTAGGACGGCCCATGTTAACTTGTTAGAATAGTTTGTGCCTAATAACCACATGATTGCATTCTTCTTTTTTTTTTCTCTGTGATAAAAAAAGTGATACCAAGCTAAGCATTCCAGCTATATAAACTGTGTTTTTTTAAAAAAATTTATTTTTGTTGGAATGTCAGATCTACAGAGAGGAGAGACAGAGAGAAAGATCTTCTGCCTGCTTATTCACTCCCCAAGTAGCCACAATGGCCAGAGCTGAGCCTATCCAAAGCCTAGAGCCAAGAGCTTCCTCCAGGTCTCCCGCATGGGTTCAGGGTCCCAAAACTTTGGGCCATCCTCCACTGCTTTCCCAGGCCACAAGCAGAGAGCTGAATGGGAAGCAGGGCTGCTGGGATTAGAACTGGCACCCATATAAGATCCCAGCGCGTTCAAGGCGAGGACTTTAGCCACCAGGCTACCACACGGAGCTCATAAACTGTATTTTAAAAGAAACTAATAGTATGTCTTGGCGATTATGCCATTATCATATTCACAGAGCCATTACATTGTTCAACATATGTCCACAGAGTGTTTCACTGCAGAATAAACTGATTTAACCAGCCCTCAATTGATAGCCATTTAGATTATAATCTAAGCAATATTATCTTACATATGTTGCATATTTTTTTTGCACAAATGCAGAAGTGGAATTGCTGAATCAAAGAATATATCCAGTTGTAATTTTGGTAGATGTGCCAGCATGCTGTCCATGCAGGTTATGCTTGTTACCCTTCTTTCTGCAAAGTCCCATTTAATGCTAGTGCCTTTCCTTGGGACATATTAACAGATCTTATAGTCTGTGCCACTTTTACTGTAGTTTTAGCTTGCATTTCTGAGTGAAGTTGAGAATCTTTTTAATGCTTGAGGCTTTTTGTATTCCCTTTTCTTTTTAAGATTTATTTTTGTTGGAAAGGCAAATTTATAGAGAGAAAGAGAGACAAAGATCTTCTATCTATTTCCACTGGTTCACTCCCCAAGTGGCCACAATAGCTGGAGCTGAGCCAATCTGAAGCCAGGAGCCAGGAATTTCTTCCAGGTCTCCCACATGGTTGCAGTGTCCGAAGGCCTTGGGTCATTCTCTATTGCCTCTCCAAGTCACAAGTAAGGATCTGGATGGGAAGTGGAGCATCCAGGACACAAATTGGCTACCATATAGGATCCTGGTGCTTACAGGGGAAGGAGTAGCCATTAGAACTGTTACAACGGGCCCCTTATTTCCTTTTCTATTCTTTGCCATTGTTGCAGTTATTGTTGGGAGTTTTAATTTTTCTAGCTACTTTCCAGAAAATCTTTTTTTGAGAGGTTTATCTGGAAGGCAGAGTTACAGAGAGAGAGAGAGAGAAGGAGAAAAAGAGAGAGCTTTTCCATTTTATGGTTAACTCTCCAAATGGGAAGGGCTGCGCCAGAGTGAAGCCAGGAGCTTAGAACACTTTTCCAGGCACATTAGTAGGGAGCTGGATCAGAAGTGGAACTATTAAAAAAGAAAGAAAGGAAGGAAGAAAGAAATAAAAGAAAAGAAAGGAAAAAGAGTAAGGAAAAGGAGAGGCTCAATTGACTAATCCTCCATTTTCAAGTGCTAGCATTTCATATGGGTGCCAGTTCGTGTCCTGGCTGCCCCACTTCCCATTCAGCTCCCTGCTTATGAAATCAGAAGCAGGGTCAGGGCTTGAACCCAGGCACTCTGATGTGGGTATCCCAATGACGTCTTAACTGCTGAAGCAAGCATCTGCTGTTAATTGACCTTCACGTCATTCTGTATAGCTCTGTATCTTTCTTCCTAGGGCTTACCTTTCTAAATACTGCTGTATATTTTAAAATAAATTTTACCTTTTTCATGGACAACAAACTCCTTGTCCAAGATTACATACCCTGAAGCAGGTGTTTAGGGTTGCGGTTAAGAAGCCCGCAGCCCACATTAGAGAACCTGGGTTCTGTTGCCGGCTGTGGTTGCTATTCAAGCTTTAAGCCAAGACAGATCCTCGCAGCAGTGATGGCTCAAGTAAGTGGGTTCCTGCCACCCACGTGGAAGAGGGTATGGTGTTCCCTGCTGCTGTGAGCGTGTGGGGAGGGTACCAGCAGAGGAGAGTGTGTTCTCTCAGCTTTCTGTGTTCCAGTCTTTGTCTTCTCTTTCTGCCTCCGAAACTTAAAGTTGTCTTCCCTCAGTTCCTAAGCATGGTCTGTGAAGGAAAAATGCCAACATGAGCAAATAAAAAAAAGGAGAAAGGGAGGGAGGGTGAAAGAGAAACACGGAGGACAGTGCTGGATTTGTTAGTGCAGAGGCCTTCTCTTCAGAGTCAAGCTACTCTGAGGAAAAGTGCATCTTCCATTAAGGGGTAAATCCGGTAGAGAGAAAAACCAGTCAAAGTTTAGAACAGTAGAAAGTTGAGAGATGTATTTTGGCTTTTCTGTAGTGCTTAATAAATGACTGCATTAAAATTTTAGATGGATTTGAACTTGGGGAGGAGCAGAGAGAGTGTTAAATGATTTAGTTGCAAAGTTATGTACTTTGTGCCAGAGAGAGCTCTCAGGTCAAACACTTTAAAATGATTCATTCTAGATTAGAGCTATTGGATCCAGCACTCAGGGCTGATAACCAGATGCTAGTTAAAGCATTGTGTGTTCTTTCACAACTTTCCAGGGCCCAGTGTTTATGGTGCAGTGGGTTAAGCTGTCCCTTGCCACTCTGTCATAACTATTTTTAATCACCAGTCATGGGTCCTGGCTACACTAACTGCTGGCTGCTCTGCTCTTGATCCAGCTTCTTGCTAATGCAGACAGAAAGGCAGTGGATGATAACCTCAGCATTTGGGCCTCTGTGACTCACATGGGAGACCTGGACGGGATTCTAGGCTCTGGCTTTGGCATGGCCCAGAATTGCCTGCTGTAGCCATTTAGGGAGTGAAACAGTGGGTGGATGATCTCTCTTGTGTCTGCCTTTCTCTTTACCTTCCAAATAAATCAGTAAAGTTAGGATTTTATTCTAGAGACTTTGGATAATACTTACAGGTCTTTGAACAGATAAAGATTATAATTATACTGCAAAATAGATGTGATTATTATATGCAGATAATTAATGGTTGTCAGCCTAGATTTTGGCTGAAGGGGCCAAACGAAGTGTGGAGTGAGAGGTAGTAGTTGTTGTAGTCCAGATTAGGAAGTAAAAACTGGCAGTTATGGAAAAATGAGCATTTTAGAGTAAGCCCGAGCAAATTTTTTAAGTACATTTGGAGCTTTTCATATTTAAAGGATTAAACAAATTTATTAAACAATAGCATTTTTCTCAGAATCTTAATCTCTACCTTGGGAGAAGGATTGGGAATGTATGTGCATGGAAAGAAAGGACTGGGCCCTTCTGGCTGACTTCATATGTAATTGAAAATGAACTGGCTTTCATCCAGAAGGAAGAACTGTTAAGCATATTTTAAAAGCAAGCACTTGGTTTCTATTTTTAAGTTTCTGAAGATTATTATCTAACAGAGGGAAATGGTTTTTAGGGATGAGTTTGATGTGCCCAGACTTCTTGCCAATATGTTCTCTCTCTTTTCAAAATATATATTTATTTGCTTACTTCCTTATCTGCTTATTTGAAGGTGAAAGTGACAGGGAGAAAGAGACAGGAAAGCTCTTCCATCTGTGGATTTACTCCGCACATGCCCTCAATAGCCATGGCTAGTCAAGACCAAAGCCAAGAACAGGGAACACCACCCAGGATTCCCACATGAGTGGCAGAAATCCATATTATTGGGTCATTATCTGCTCCCTCACATGTGGGTTAGTAGCAACTAGTTCAGAAGCAGAGCACCTAGCACTTCAAACGGCACTCAGACCTTCAATGTGGGCATCCTAAGCAGTTACTTAACCCGCTGGTTACAATAGCCACTTGAATGTTTTCTCCTTTTGATATGAGGTGATTTGGTTATCCATCAAACTTGTCTTGTAATTTTGTTGGTTTTTACTGTTGCTTGTGGCGCTTCTTGGGTTTCTAACATTTGTGACTGCAAATAGCTGAAGCGTCCTGGCTGGAGAAATCTTTAGGAAGGTAGCCTAAGTAGGAATACAGAGAGAGACTGGTTAACTGCTGGTGAAGTGAGAATTTGAACTCACAACTGTGGTTATTGCTTGGATGGAGTGATTGGTGAATTACTGCTTGTATATTTTTACTTTGGCCTCCATTTTCTGATTGTAACTTGTAGCTTGAACATGTAACTTGAACAAGTAGTTGGATATAAGTAATAATTGCTGGGAGCTTGTTGGTAGGAGATGTAGTTGATACGTTTACCAGAATCTTTCAGTGGGAAATGGCAAATTCTATTTAGTATGTGCATTTTGAGGAATCACTGTTGCTATTTTACAGATGTGTAGTACCCATGTAAGCTTTCTACTTCTCAGAAGTATTTCCTGACTATTGTCATTTTATGCTCAGAACAACCTTGCAAGTGAGGTGGAGCCAGTTTGATTTGTATCTGGTATTGTGGATGATAGGATATAAACAGAATTCAGAGTCATGGCTTCTGACTCAAAAAATAGATGACTTTGGGATAACCCATTCCCTGGTGAGCTATAGCTTTCAGAAAATCTGATAGGATGTGGAAGACTGAATTCTCTCCTTTTGTTGTGTTCTAGCGGCGTCTTCGACATCTTCGGAACATTGCTGCCAGGAACATTGTTAATAGGAATGGCCATCAGCTCCTTGATACCTACTTTACACTTCACTTGTGTAACACTGAGAAGATATATAAAGGTAAGGGGATCTGTGGGCTTGTTACCCAAGGCTTGTGAATCTCCTCTTCATTTTCCTAGAGCAAGTTACTCTCAGTGTTTCCCTCTATTATTGTTTATTGGAAAGGTAAATTGTCGTTCTATCTGAAAATATGTCATGAACAGTTGTTGTCCATCTTAAGGAATCATGGTTATTTGATAGTTCTTTCAAATAAGTGACCTTTGCATTGATAAGTTTATCATTCCTTTATGAAAACTAGCTGTTGTTATTCCAGAAGCTAATGATATTTAATTCAGGATCCCAACCATCTGTGGAATATATGTTGGATAAACAGCACGGAGACACTGTCTCAGTGGTTTGGTAGCATGGTATGAAAGGAAGCATGATCAGATGGCAAGAACCTTAGGTGAGCATTGAAAAGTACGTGAGTACTACCTCTAGCTCAGGGACTTATTAACATTGTGACTTTGAGGGTCATAGGTTTTTGAACCTCACTTTTCTTCATTTTTGAAGTTGATGCTGTCTTATGAATTAGGCTTGATAGGTTTTTATGAGGCTTGATTAAAATAATTTGATAATATTTGATGTTAAAATATGATTAAAGATTTATTTATACTGATAAAAGGTGGTACTAAGGGGCAGGTATTTGGTGCAATGGTAAGACACCACTTTGAATACTTTTATTCCTTATGGGTTTGTGTCCCAGGTCTGCCTCTGGTTCAGCTTCCTGCTGATACACAGCCTGGAAGCAGCAGGTGAAGCTTCAAGTACTTGGGTCCTTGCCACCCATGTGGAAGACCTGGGCTGAGTTCCAGGTTGCAGCTTCAGCCTGGCCCAGCCTGAGGTGCATGGGTTTCCCATAGTTGGAAGATCTCTGCCTCTCAGTTTAAGTAAGTTTTCAGAACTTTGTTTTTCCCCCCAAGATGCCAACTAATGCCAAGACCTGGACAGCTAGCTGTAGGCTAGGAAAAAAGAGTAACATTTTATTAATAAGATGTACTGAAGACTTACTTGAGTATTGTTCTATGGCAAAAATAAAAAAAGTTCAAAGTGATACTTTACCCTTTTTAGTTTAATTTTTTAATGAAAATATTTATTTTGTTTGAAAAGTAGAGTCACAAAGAAAGAGAGAGAGAGATAGTAAGGACATTTGGTTCACTTCCCAAATGCTTGGCAGGACTAGGCCGAAACTAGGGTTCAGAACTCTAAGTAACTCACATGGGTGACAGAGACCCAAGCACGTGGGCCATCCTCCATGGCCTTCCAGAGTATGCATTAGGAGCAACCTGGATTCCAAGCAAAGTAACTGGAGCTAGAATTGGCACTCTGATATGGTATGCCATCTTTATAAATCTTCATTTAATTCACTGCTGCCTCCTCTGTTATAGTGCAGAATATTTTTAATTTTGGGTGGATTTCTGGGTAATCAGTCCTAAAACATGTGTCTTTGCTCCTCTGTTGCTAATAATTAACTAGGACAATATCTTTTGGAATATAAAAAATCATACCAATTATTTCTAGAATTGTATTTTTTTAAAGATTTATTTATTTATTGGAAAGTCAGATATACAGAGAGGAGGAGAAATAGGAAGATATTCTGTCTGATGATTCACTCCCCAAGTGAGCGCAATGGCTGGTGCTAAGCCGATCTGAAGCCAGGAGCCAGGAACTTCCTTTAGGTCTCCCATGTAGGTGCAGAGTCCCAAAGGTTTTGGTCCATCCTTGACTGCTTTCCCAGGCCACAAGCAGGGAGCTGGATGGGAAGTGGAGCAGCCGGGATTTGAACCGGTGCCCATATGGGATCCTGGGTGCTTAAAAGCGAGGATTTTAGCCGCTAGTCCTTAAAAGGCGAGGATTTTAGCCGCTAGGCCATGCCACTGGGCCCGTATTGTTAGTTATTAATAGTTACTAAAATGAATAGTTAAGGGGCTGGTTGGTAAAAAGCTATTTAGAGAAATGATGAAAATGAAGTGACTAGCTTTTTTGTTTCTTCCAGAAGTTATTACAGACTCCTCTTCTTCCTTCCTTCTTTCCTTCCGCTGCTTTCCTCTCTTCTCCCTCCCCCTCCCTCCTTTCCCCTCTCCTCTCTTTCTTAAGATTCATTTACTTATTTGAAAGACAGTGAGTGAGAGAGATCATCTATCTGCTGGCCCACTCCTCAAATGGTCGCAGTGGCTGGGACTGGGCTGTGAGGAATCCAGGAGCTGGAATTTCATTTGGTTCTCTCACTTGGGTGGCAGGGGTCCAAAGCACTTGGGTCATTTGCTGTTGCTTTCCCAGGCAGATTAGTAGGGAATAGGATCCGAAGTAGAGTAGCTGGGACTCAGGGGATGTTGGCATCGCATGTGGTAGTGTAGCCCACTGCCAGAACCCCTGGAATGCTTCTTCAGGTTATCTCCGTGAAATGATCATTAACACAAGTGTGGGGAAAACTGGTGATAGACCACATGGAAGCCCAGTCTTTCTTGGCTCCTTCTGGTTAATTTAGCATTAAAACATGGGATCAATGATTTCTGACCTTGCTTCTACTCCAACATGTACTGATTGAATGAAGTCTCTTCCTGAGTATTAGGTTCTAGAACTTGTGACTGCCATCGGAGGAACTGGAGAGTCCTTCTGTTAGTAATTCTAGTTATTACCTTATGTTGTTGGACCTGTCATGGTTAACATAAATATATTATAAGCATCATGTGGCCCTTGGTGTGGAATACCAAACCGCATGGTACATTTTGTTTAGTGGTGTAAGTTCTTAATTTTGCAAGAAGGATTTTTTTTTTTAAGTTAGAAGATTAGAAGAAGATCTGCTGTGAATTTTTTTACTTGATATTCTTTCAGTTTTCTTAGGAGATTTCTTTTCTTTTTGAAACAGAGAAGCTTATTTGAGAAGTGACCATGTGAAGGGGAGAAGAGGGAAGGGGAAAGCATCTCCTGAGAAAGCCCAGAGGTAGGGAGAGGTACTGTTGCGGGGTGCGAGTGAGATCACACCAGACATGTGTAAGGTTTATTAAGGAGTCTTTATTCAAGCTTGGTGACAGTAGAGCACAATAGCAAATCACAAGTCCATACAGCAGTCCAACCAAGCATAATCCAACCAATCATAATCCCAAAAGGAACAAATGGTCATTAGCCTTAAGTCCATCCATTAAGCTGAAGCCTTATGTCCCTGCTTCCCCAACAATATAAGTTATTCTAAGAGACATGCAATGAATAACCTGGACATACTTAGAAAGCTGCAGACATTCACCTTTCCCTGGCTTCTCTGCCCACATTCCACTACTGCTAGGCCTCACCTCCCCTGGAACTCCCGACAGCACACAAACCAGAAACATTACTATATCCATTGTCCCATTGAAGCAGTACACAGGGACCATGCTCAGGGGATTACCTGTCCTGGGTCAGCCAAGAGTCAGCGTGCCAGAGTAAGGGAAATACCTGGCCAGAAAGAGAGTGAGCCCCTGCTTCACAGGCCTTTTAAAGGAGTTTGTGAGTGGAGTGGTTACACAACAATGCAATACCGTCCCCTCTTAGTTGATAGGTGAGTCACAGGTGGGCAGAAGTGAATACCAAAATGTTGTGGGCTAAGGAGTTGAATAGTGCTCCTTGGGATGGACAGGAACAGGAATTTGGCTTGTAGTTAAAAACACCTAGACTAATTGGACTTCCAATAACCTGGCTAATTTTGGATGTAGGGAGGTGGTTGTAGATGAATTTACATTCCATCGTTGTTAAGACCCACCTTCAGGACAGAGGGTAGGGGACACAGTCAAATTTCATTTGCCCACTGTCAGTGGATGCTGGCTATCACTGGTTGTACCCCATAACAATACCAGGAGATTTCTATTTTTAAAGTAGTTAAAATCAAATACTAGTTATTATAGTTCCTAAGAAAGTTTGTACTAGTGGATAAGGACCTAGCTTCTAAATTTGATTCCTCCTTAAACTTGAAATTTTTGTAAAATCAAATTTGTTCTTCAGCTGTGGTTGTTTTTTTGTTCTTGAAATGTGAGTGCCTGTCCTCCGTGGAATGCTGCCTCACCTGAATGTGTCAGAAGGTGAATTCTGCTTGAAAGGTCTTCAGAAAGTTTGTGAGAAATGTGTATTATTAAAATAAAAAAAACCATGAATCATCAAAATAAAGTTACCTTTTAATTCTATTTCCATGAATTTTTTTGAAGTGTAATCCTAATCCAATTTTGCAATCTCGTTCATGTTTCATAGTTTCTAATAAGTTCTATTCACCTTTGTTCTGAAGTCATATATCCAGGTACCTATTCTGTATCTTCATTTGGTTTTTAATAGACAACTTAATCTATTTATTTTTTATTTGAAATCCAGAGAGAAGGGTGACGAGAGGGAGAAAAGGAGATAACTTCTTTCAGCTGGATCACTCTCCAGATGTTGCTATAATCTGGGCTAGGTTAGGCAAAAGCCAGGAGCCAGAAACAGTCTAGGTCTCCCACATGGGTGGCAGGATCCAACCACTGGCACCATCCCCTGCTGTCTCCCAGGGTGCACATTAACAGGAAGCTGGGATTGAGTGCCGACTGGGGATTTGGACCCAGGCAATGTGAGCTGAGGTGTGGATACCCCAGGTGGTGTCTTAAGTGCTCCAACCCTGGCACCTTCATCCTGATATGTTCAAAGCCAAGTTTCTTATGTTCTAGTGCTGATGTTTTCTCTACCCTGTTAGAATAATAGCAGCTTTGTTTCTTTGGCTAGAAACGGTAGAGTCCTTGATTGTCCTCTTTCTCTTATCTTCCACATCTATTGTTTCAGCAAATGATTTTGACTGTTATAATCAAAATGTCTTCATGGTCACGGCATGTCTTACTACCACACCTGTGGCTCTTACGTGAATTGTGTTAAGAGACTTCTTACAGATTTGTCTACCCTTGTAACCCCTCGTCTTTTCTCAACCAAGATCCTATTAAAACCTATCCTATTTGTCCATATTTGTCCATTTCCTATCCTCAAAACCTGCCAGAGGCTTTCCATCTCGTTCACAGCAAAAACTAAAATCCCTCAGACTTCCTGGAAGGGCTTTCATGATCTGACCTCTTGTTCTCTGGGAACTTTACTGATATTCTTCCAGCTCTTTCTGTTCTAGCCACATCAAGATGGTTTAGGTCTCTGTCTCCTTTCAGGGTACACCTCATCTCCCGGAGTCTGTCCTGGGAGATGTGTTCCAGTTCCTCCTTTTCACATTCACCTGTTCACTTCCCACACGAAACATCCCCTTTGTCTGATAAAAAGAACAAAAGATTGAGCTTCCAGGACCCTGCACTCGCTAGTTTTCTGACCCAGAGTGTCTATGCTCTAGTTGTTTGGCTGTCTAGCTCTTGTACCTCCTTGTAGGTCTTTATTCCAGATCACAGTTCTGTGACTTTTCTCCTGCCAGTTGTTTATACTTTATTTTGCTCCACATTACTTAAGATCATCTGATATACTGTGTATCTAATTATGTCTCCATCCACTAGAGTGGAAGTTTCATGAAGTCAAGAGGTTTAGTTCAGTTCTGCTCTCTGCTCTGTCCTCGATACTAGAAATAGTGCTTGTCATGTACTGGACTATTGGTTATTATTTTTTCTTTTTAATTACAGATTTTGAATAGGTGATGCAGTCTATGGTTCAAATTATGTCTAAAGGCTTACTTTTTTAAAAGATTTTTTAAAATTGGAAGTCAGTTTTACAGAGAGAAAGATCTTTCATCCATTGGTTCACTCTCCAAGTGGCTGCAATGACTAGTGCTGAGCCAAACCGAAGCCAGGAGCCAGGAACTTGTTCTGGATCTCCCACGTGGGTATAGGGTCCCAAGATGGGCCATCCTTGACTGCTTTCCCAGGCCACAAGCATGGAGCTGGATGGGACATGGAGCAGCTGGGATTAGAACCGGTACCCTCGTGGGATCCTGGCACATAAAAGGCAAGGACTTGAGCCATAGCCACTAGGCTACTGGGCTGGGCCCTAAAGGCTTATTTTAAAAATGCCTTCTTACCTGCCCCTCACCACTCTGTTTTCCTATTTCATCCTGATAACCATTGTTATCCTCTTTCTTGAAATTAAAAAAATATATATTTATTCATTTTTACTGGAAAGACAGATTTACAGAGAGAAGACATATATAGAGAAATATCTTCCATCCACTGGTTCACTCCCCAGATGACTAAAATGGCTCGAGCTGAACTGATCCAAAGCCAGGAGCCCACTGTTTCTTCTAGGTTTCCCATGTGTGTGCAGGATCCAAGGCTTTGGGCCATCTTTCAGTGCTTTCCCAGCCCACAAGTAGGGAGTTAGATAGGAAATGGAGCAACTGGGGCATGAACCAGAACCCATATGGGATGCCGTCACTGGCAGGTAGAGGATTAGTCAGTTAAGCAATCTTGTTCACCTTATTTTTTTTGAGATTCTTTATGCAAAAATAAAAAAGGAAGTTTTTTTGTTCCTTTCTGCCTTCTTTTCCACATAATGAGTATCATATGTATTTCTGTACCTGTGTTTTTAACTTAATGTGTCTTAAAGATTTGTCCATATCAGTTTGGAGAGCTTTTGTAACTTTTGTTTGTTTGTTTATTTATTTTGCTCAGCCTTGTATTGAATAGGGGTATTGTGATTTATACTAGTTCGTATATAAGGATTTAGGTTGTTCTAGTCTTTTTGCTATATACACAATATTGCATTGAATAGCTGTATAAGCACATTATTTGCTGTGAGTGGTAGAATGCCTATGGGGCAAATTCCAAGTGTAGTTACTAGGACAAAAGTATTTTGTTCTTGATTTCAGTAGATATTGCAAAATATCCTCCATGGACTTTTTTTTTTTGAATGTATGAATGCTTTTTAAACATAGCCTTACCACCAGGCTGTGCAAACTTGAATTTCTGCCAATCTGATAGCTGAAAAGTAGTTTTCCAGTACAGCATAAATTTGTATTTCCTCTGGTATGACTGAGATTGAGGCACTAATAAAGCATTTGTTGAATGAATGGAATGCAGTGTAATGGCCAAAGCATGCCTTGGAACCAGGTTGTGCAGTCTCCTGATTGCTTTGTTTCTTTAGGTCTAAGACACATACATAAACATTTGTATGTAATGATTCCTTTCTTGTAGAAATAGGTCTTAGATATCCTCTTGAAAATGTACTTGTCAAATCATTTTTCTTAAATTCAGAGGCTAAAAATTAATAAAATTTTATTAATAAAAATGATAGCTTATGAAGTGGCTTCAATTAGCTATTTTATTAGAGCCCCATGTCAGCTTTGATTTTTGCCAGGTGTCATTCTCCTTTGAGAAGTGAGGCCTTGTACAGGGTCCAAATGTTTTACACAGTAGTACACTGGGTACTGGAGCTGGAATGGACTTTTATGTTTTTCCAGTTTAAATTCACTATGCATTTTTTTTTTTTGCTCCTAATATTATCCACGAAGTTTTATTTTTAAATTAATAAATAGTTATTTCTTCTGGTTCACTCCCCAAATGCCTGTAACAGCCAGGGGTAGGTCAGCTCAAAGCCAGGAAGTTAATCTGAGTCTCCTTTGTGGCTGGCAGGGACCCAAGTACTTGAACCATCATCTGCTGGCTCCTAGGATATGCAGGAATCTGAATCTGAAGCATGATAGCTGGGACTCAAACTAGGCATTCCAGTATGGGATGTAGGCTTCCTATGCACAGTTTAACTGTTGTAATAAATGCCCACCATTATACTTAATTTTTTAAAAAGATTTTTAAATTTAAAAAGTTTTTAATATAGCCTTACTTATTTTGTTGTAGGGCTTTTGACTCTGAATATGGCAGCAACCTCAATTCTTCTCTTGCAGAAAGAAGAATTTTCATGCGGACACAGTTTAGTTCTAAAGCAAGATTTATTAGAAAAGCTGAGAAGGGAGGCTCGTGTCCTAGTGACAGGAGGGGGCTTCAAGAGAGGGAGTGTGGGGGGCTTGTTGGGAATGGCTCTTTGGATCACTGACATATTTTCATTTCACCTTTGAGTCTTTTGTTTTTAAAGATTTATTTATTTTTGTTTGATGAAAGGTAGATTCTACAGTGAGAATGAGAGAGAGGTCTTCTGTCAGTTGGCTCACTCCCCAAGTGGCCACAATGGCCAGGATTGAGCCAATCTGAGGCTTGGAGTGAGTAGCATTGTCTGGGTCTCCGATGTGGGTGCAGGCCCAAAGACTTGAGCCTTCTTCTGCTGCTTTCTCAGGCCGGTAGTAAGGAGTTGGGTCAGAAGTGGAATAGCCAGGACATGAGCTGACATATAGGATGCCGGCATTGCAGGTTAATCCCATTTAGAGTTAATAACATGGATCAGCATATGTGGAGATGTGGAGATTCATGAAACTTTAGTGCTGACAGTTGAACCTTTAATTTTATGCTCTAACTCTAGATTGTCCAATGAATGGGCCTAGAAGAATGGTTGATAACAAAGGTGGAATTAGAATTTAGATTATTCAGCTTCCAGATCAATATTCGTTCCACAGTATTGTAGTGGATATTCATCAGAGATGTTTGAGGAAAACAGAGCAGATAAAATCAGTTGCAGAGAGTGGAAGTGGGCAAGGAGAAAGAAAGTTTGAGTTTTTGAGGGCCCAAATTATGAATCTGGATAAAAGGAGCCAGTGAAATAACAATTCCTATGTTAAAGATTTTTAATGTTCTTCATGGATTTTTTTTATCTTTAAAACACTTTTATTTCTATTTTAGATATCTTTTTATACAAAGATAATGGATCCTTTTTACATGTTAAAAAATATTTCTTTAGGAGATATTATGAGTTAATGAGCTTATTTTCTTTCATATCACTTATTGTTTTTTTTTCTTCTTTTCCAGAATTTTATAGAAGTGAAGTGATTAAGAATTCCTTGGTAAGTTTGTTTTGTGGCAGGTACATGTGGCTAAGCCTATAACTCCCATTTCAGAAAATTCAGAGATATAAAATACGTTGAGGTCCAGTATTACGATACTTATTTAAGTATCATTCTTCCCAATCATCGCTAAATCACACTGATCTATTTACTGCTATATTTCTAGGGCTTAGGTCATGTCTGGAACATGGTTGTGGGTCTGTATGTATTTATTGAATGAAATGATATTTCCTCTGGAAAACTTTAATTGGGTCTGCTACAAACCTAGCTTTTGATGATCAAATATAATAAGTGATATATTTGCTTAGACTTAGTCCTTAAAAATTTCATGTCTAGGGCCTTTCATAGGGTAAATCCACTTGGTGGATTCTTGGTGTAATGTGTGATAATGTATACACTAGATATTTGTATAAATGGCTTAAGTTATTTGGCCATGTTAAAAAAAAAGAACTTTAGAATGAAAAAATATCCTTGTAATGGTCTAAGACCCTTCTGGATTTGGTTCCTGTCTACTTTTTTGAACTTGTATGCCAATGTTTTTTCCTTCCTTTTCTGTGCCACACAGATCAGGCTCATCCAGTTCTTCATGACTAGAATACTTGTTTTTTTTTCTCAGTTCTTCACTTGGTTGTAGTCTGTCTGTGACAGACATAGGTCTTGCCTATGTCACTGCAGTAAAACTTTCTATAATAATTGTATCTAAACTAGTTCCCATTCACCCAATCCCTCTTTCTTATCACTTGGACTTATTTTCTTCAAGTCATTCATCAATGTTGGAAACTCTTAAAAATATTTCTTAAGTTTTAAAATTTTATTTTAGGGGCAGAGAAACAGAGAAAGACATAGGGAAAGGTCTTCTATCCAATGCTGGGTCACTTGCTAAATGCCCAGAACAGTTAGAACTGGACCAGGCTGAAGCCAAGAGCCTGGAGCCAATTTGGGTCTCTCCCATGAATGGCCCCAGGGACCCAACTGGAGTCATCATCTGCTGCCTCCCAGGATAGTATTAGCAGGAAGTTGGAATTGGAAGTGGAGTTTGAACTTGAATCAAATCAGTCTGATATAGGATCAGATATTCCAAGCAACAGTTTACTACCTGCCCCTAGAAACTCTGGCTCACTTATGCTAATTAGGTGTCATTTACCTATTGCAATGGAAGTTCAGTGAGAGTAAGAACCTTGGCAATCTTGTTCATTATTGTAACACTGCAGTTTAGAATAGTATAGATGCTCGATAACTACTTGTTAAATCAATCATTGGGTATCAGTGATATATTTTAATTAAAGAATCCTTTTATATATGCTGTCCCATTCTGACCCTGACAACAACTCAAGTTGTAAGGTTGATGGTGCCAGAAGATTTGACAGTTGAAAGCCAGAGTCACAGAGAGGGAGGAGAAATAAAGATCTTTCACCTGCTGGTTCATTCCCCAAATGACTGGAACTACCAAGGCAGAGCCAGGCTGAAGGTGAGAGTCAGGTTCTTCATCCCAGTCTCCTGCATGGGTGGCAGGTGCCTGGACACTTGGGCATCACTCTGCTAGTATTTCCGGGGTGTTAGTAGGGAACTAGTTCAAAAGTGCAGCAGCATATGGGATGCTGCCATTATGGTTGGTGGCTTTGCTATGTCACAATGCCAGCTTCGATGCGGCAGATCTTCAGAAACTGATATGCAGGGACAGATGTTTGGTGCAGTGGTTGTCACTACTGGGGGTGCTGTATCCTGTTTTGGAGTGCCTTGTTTGTATCCTAGCTCCTTGGTTCTAGCTCCCTGCTCAAGTGTACCCTGAGAGGCAATAGATAATGCTCTATTTCTTGGGTTACTGTCACTCATTTGGGAGACTTTGATTGAGTTCCATGCTCTTGGCTTCAGTGTGGCCCATTCCTGGAGGTTGCAGGCATTTGGAGAGTGAACCAGTGGATAGAAGTGTTTTTCTGTTTCTCCCTATCTCTCTTTCAGATAAAATGAAAAAAGGAAAATAAAACAAAATTAAAAAAAAAATCTCAGAGTGCCAATTATTTGCAGAAACAGACAACCAGAGAACTTGAACCCTAGACAGATCTGTCTTGAAATCTCTATTACTGTTTTTTGTTTTTCACCAAATGTCTTCTAAATGTCTCTAAGTTGTCATAAGAGATTTTGGATCTTAGGACAGATTCCTTGAGTCCTTCTCTGGGAACAGCCAATCACTGATTCTCCAGATGTGAAGTGATAGCTTAGATTGCCTGACTTACAGTAGCTTCTGAGTAAATACATGTTTTCCTTCCTTTGCTGGTTCAAGTAGAAATAGATAGTCTGCTGGCATTTGAAAGCTGTTGGTTAAGGGGCAGGATTTTGCCTTGATGTGTTCTGTCCCTTTTGCTACAGACAGATAATGCTCTGCTTGGGATGGTTTTACGACAGCCCGTTGCTTATTCCCTGGATGCACATAATAACTATGGTCTTGTGGTAGCTGAGTGTGTTTAGAGTTGTTAGTATTACATCTTGTTGATATTCATTTGATTTTAAAATCCATACGTTACACATGTCTCGGAATGTGAACTGCCATTTTCAACTCCTTTTGGCTTCTGTCTTCTGTTGTTTTGGAACTGTGAGATTGTGCCACCTTCCTCCCTGGGACACGTGGGCTGAATGTTGTCCCCAAAGGATATTGTAGAATGGATTTCAGATAAGAGAGAGGACTGGACTAAAAGACTTCAGGTCACAGTTTGTGCTGTACAATAATTGTTTCCTGTGTGTATCACCGAGAACATCAGCTTACATTGTAATTGTTCGTGAGTGTTGTCTCCCACACAAGATGAAAGCTGCTGAGGTCAGAGATTGCGTGTCTTTGTCCCTTCAGTCCCCAGGATACTTCTGTTGAGTAGCTGTTGGATAGGTATTGATTCATTGATGTTCCTTTAAAGGGGGTCCTGTTTTAATGTAGCTTAGTAAACCTTGATTCACTTATTTTTTTCCAAAGGAACTTTTCCTTCTTAGCTGCTGGTTATTTGTGACTGGTGTAGACTGATGGGCAATGGGCACCACAGCAGCCATACCCCCTTAGGGAATGTACTAGAGAGAGCACCTTGTTACCTCCCTTCCTGTTGTCTTTGAGTAATCCTTGCTAGGCTTACAGACAACAGGATTTGTTGTTTTCTTTTCTGTTTAGGATTTTGAAGTTATGATGTTGGCTAAATAGAGTTACTGGCTTAAATGCTTTTATCCCTGCTGGTTGCCATTGTGCTTGGCACAGTGGAAATGCTCAGCAAATATTTCTTGACTGAATTAACTCTTCTATAAATACATTTATTGACTGACTTTTGAAATATCCTGAAACTTCAACTCCTCATTAGCTATTAAAGGATTAGACAATATTTAAATACTTTATCTTCAGTCAAAGCTTTAAGTAAAATTTTCATTTAGTGAATTAAGATGGTCTCTAATAAACTTGTAAGCAGTCTCTTCTGTTCATAAACACTGTTTTCCTAGTTTGTGTGTTTATTTAATTTTGGGGGGGACCTGGTGCAGTAGCCTAGTAGCTAAAGTCCTTATGTTGCATGCATTAGGATCCCATATGGGTGCCGGTTTGTGTCCCCAGATGTCCCATTTCCCATCCAGCTCCCTGCGTGTGGCCTGGGAAAGCAGCAGAGGTCAATCCAAAGACTTGGGATCCTGCATCTCATGGGAGACCCAGAAGAAGCTCCTAGGTTTGGATTGGCTCAGCTCCGGTTTTTGTGGCTACTTGGGGAGTGAACCAGTAGGTGGAAGATCTTCCTCTCAGTCTCTCCTTCTCTCTGTCTCCCTTTCCAATAAAAATAATTAAAAACAGTTTTATTTGAAAGGCAGATTTTACAGAGAGAAAAAAAGAAACAGAGAAAAGTGGTCCTCTATTTGCTGGTTCACTCCCCAAATGGCTGCAACCGGAGCTGAACCAGTCCAAACCCAGGAGCCAGGGACGTCTTCCACGTCACCTATGTGCGCGGCAGGATCTTGGGTATTTGGAACATTGTCTGCTGCTTTTCTTTCTTTGTTTTTTTTTTTAAAGATATATTAATTTTTTTTTTATTTGACGTAATTTTGCAGAGAAGAGAGGGAGAAGAAAGTCTTCCGTCTATTGGTTTACTCCCTAAATGGCTGCAACAACCAGAGCTAAGCTGATCTGAAATTGAGAGTCAGAAGCTTATTCCCGGCCTCCCACATGGGTGCAGGGCCCCACACCTTGAGCTGTCCTCACTGCTTTTCTGGGCCATAAGCCAGAAGCTAGATTGGAAGTAGAACAGCTTGGACACAAATCTGCACCTGTATGGGTTGTCGGTGCTTCCGGTGGAGGCTTAACTTACTATGCCATAGTGCCGACTACCCTCTCAGTGTTATTTTTAATGTTTACCTAGTCTTATTTATTTGAGAGGCAGAGTGACTGATGTTCTAGGAAGAGAGAATGCTGCTTCATCCTCTACTTCTCAAATGCCTGAAACCACCAGGGTTGGGCCAAGCCAAGAGCCCAGAACTTGATTCAAAAATTCCAGTGTGAGTGCTAGGGACCTTAGTACTTGAACCATCCCCTGCTTCCTCCTATGGTGTGTATATGTGAGTGGAAGGGATCCAGGTATTTGAGTCATCCTCTGCTGCCCCTAGTGTTTGCTTTAAGTAGGAAACTGGGTCAGAAACAGTAGCTTAGGATCCAATCTAGGCATTTCATTATCCCAAGCATCAGTTTAACTGTTGTGCTAAATGTCTACCTCTGCTGTGGCATTTTTTCTGCTTTTAATCCAGTTTAATCCTTATTGTTTGTTTATTTTCATTTATTTGAAAGGCATAGTGATATACAGACATAGACAGAAGCAGATCTTCCATCTGCTGGTTCACTCCCCAAATAGCTACAGAAGGCAGGGTTGGGACAGATTGAAACCAGGAACCAGGAACTCCATCAAGGTCTACCTTGTGGATAGCTAAAAAGAGTTTTTCCTCTATATTGGTTAAATTGCCCTTATATTCCCCTTCTGTGCCCCTTTTTAGTA